TACCTGGTAAATGCATCAGAGCAATATTTTGAAGCATGACAGATGTTGACTAAAAAATCCAGAAGAACCTATATCAATGCTGTACCTTAGTCTTTGTCATATGAGGTACAAGATGGGGCTTGTACTTTATCATAGAGTAATATCCCTGAATGCATAGGCAATGGTACATCTCTGTTACTCTGTTGATGTGGCAGGCCCTGAATTTTCAAAGGTTTTATTTTCCAACTTCTGGCACACAAGAGGAGACTAACAATTTTTGGTTACTAACATGGGAGAAAACTTGGAGAATATTGTTTCCCAGGAGTCAAGTGAAGAAAGTATTTTAAGGAGGAGGGAAGCTGGGCATGGTGGTGCATGCCTGTAATTCCAGCTACTCAGGAACTATTCAGAAGGCTAAGATCCCAAGTTCAACCCAACCTTGGCAACATAGCTAGACCCCTAAAAAAAAAATGAAGGAATAAGGGCTGGGATGTAACTCACCTAGACTTCTTACCCATTATGTGTGAGGCCCTGGGTTTAAGCCTCAGTACTACACACAAATTAAACAAAAATAAAACAACAACAACAACAAAAAAAAAGAGTGAAGGGAATGAGAATTTGTCAGACACTGCTGTTGTTAATTTAGTTATGTTTTAAGAATTGATCTTTGGTCTTGGTAATGTAAAAACCTTATGAGGTTGGGGCTGGGGTTGTGGCTCAGTGGTAGCATGCTTGCCTTGCATGCGTGGGGCACTGGGTTCGATCCTCAGCACCACATAAATTAATAAAATAATAAAATAAAGGTATTGTGTCCTTCTACAACTAAAACAAAATTTTTAAAAACCTTATGAGGCAGTTTCACTGATGTTTCAAAGACAAAAATTTGAATTGGTTTATGAGAAAAGAGAAAGAGAGGAGAAAGAGACAAATTTTTTATTAAAGAATTTGCTGTAAAGGGACACAAAGAAATAAGGCAATGACTACAAGAGGATATAGGGTGCAGAGAGGATTCCTTTTTCATTTTTATTTTCTTTCAAAGATATTTGACTGTCAAACATTATACAGATGGAATGACCCAGAAGGGAAGGAAAATTAATGGTGCAGGGCAAGAACAAAGTCCTAGAGGAGAGAAGATAAGGATCTGGGGCACAAGGAAAAATGTTGGCTTAGATCAAGAGCACAGACAGCTCCATGGTGGCAGGAGGGCAACAGAGTATATGCAATCACAGCAACAAGGACTGGTAGATTTGCTGGTGAGAGGATGAGGAAAGTCTTTTCTGTCCACTTCTCTTTTCTCAGAAAAATAAGATTGCCAGCAGACATCAAGAAATGGGCAATGGAATCTGAGAGGTTTAATGAAAAGGAATTGATGTGCCCCTCTCACAATAGGGCTGGAGTCCACCTGAGGTTTATGTCATAAATTTAACATGGTAAATGTTAGCACAATCAGATATGATGCTTCCTTTTATAACAAACGTTTTATAATGACTTCTTTACTATTCCAAAATAAAATTCATAGTTAAGAGAACCTGATCATCACGATAACTTTTGAAGAAATGCCTGTCCTATAATGACAATGGTAATCAAAGAAAAATAGCTTGGAAGTAAAAGTAATATATACTGTAATGTAAAATCTCAGCCCAGCTGTCTAGAAAACATTATGAAGTTTGTATATACTTGTTCCTCTATACAGAATCACCTGAATATGTGAACCACAAGTTTCAAAGTATACAACTATGTTATATTTGTTGCCAAGAATGGTGATGTCATTAGTGATATGATTTTTGCAAAAAAGTTAATGATATGAAAGAAACAGATCTATCCTTGAGGGAGATGAATTAGTAGAGAATTCAGTGTGCATTAAAATTGTGCAAAGAAACTTTGTGTTTTGTATAAAATATAGTTTGTTTTTAGAATCAGGCAAATAGATTTTTTTTTGCCTCCATGAATGCTCAGAGAAAAACTGTAAAATTTGTGGTATGCAGGTCTAACTTCTTATACTTTCACATACATTTGATATTTTTAGACTCCTACCAGTTAAATGAGAACAGTCCTCCAAGTCATTATGACAACCAAAACAGTCCTAATTCTCAAAGCATTTTCAAATAAGTTCCTAATACTTCCCACCATCACCAAGCTCTGTTTATAGTAATTCTGTTCATGATTATTTTTTCTCCAACCTTTGCTCAACTGTTGAGATATAGGTATTAAATTCAAAGCATAGAGAACTGGACTTAACAATACTTGGTTTATATTTTTTCAAGGTGAGTGCAAAGAAGGAAAAGAGGGATACTGGGTTGAAGGTGAAGACAAAAGAGTGGCTATAACGCTATACCATGAATCTTGGCTGAGAACGAAGGGAAGGGATACCCCCCTGGCTCTGGAGTATGAAAGGCAATAGAGGAAATGGATTGGAGCATCTGGTACAGTTGAGGAATTGTTGGCACAGGCTACTTAAATACATAAATTGGAGAAAAGGGAGGTGATGGGAAGGTGGCCTTGAAATTGGACTTGGAAGTGGTTTCAATTATATGTGATGCCTGGTTTGGGATTGTGTCCATGGGAAGGGTAGGTAGGTAAGAAATGAGGTTAAGTAAACAGGAGGCACTGAGAGGCCAGGGTAGATTGTCTACTTAGTATTGAAAAGATGTTGAATGATTTTAGGAGCAAAGGTGGAAAAAACAAAAAAGTAAGCCAGGGTGGTAAATTCTTTAATAAATGGGAAGGGAGGATACAGGAGAACTAATATGAATTCAATAAAAAGGGTAGTAGGTGCTATAGGTTACAGATATGTGTTTCAAAACACCGGGCATCTTTGGAGATGGATAGAGTAACAGTAACCTGAAAATGGCTCTGCAGGACAAGAAGAGAGCTTTCACATCTCCAGGTCTGGAATAACTTAATGTGTGATTGAGAAAACTACTACAAAAGAGGGTTTCAAAAGAAACAGGTCATGGAGATGGCCAGGTATTCAGAAAAATAAAACAAAAAAAATTGATGATTTAAATATGTGTGTTTTATCTACAATAACAAGAGTTTACCACCTTTGGAAATTGTTCAGCTTGAATATGTTTGATGAATGGATTTTTTATTTCTCTTTAGACTTGATTTCAGCTTATGGAATATGTATTGTCTTGTATATAGCTAACACTTTATGAGGTATTAAGAGAAAATAAGACATATAAAAATCATCATTCAGATAATAAGTGTATGAGTTCACTCTCAGTGAAGGGAAATATAACATGGGAGCTATATTCTACCATTGCATGTCTTCTGAGAACTATCAACTTTATTTTTTCTGGTTCCATGTTGTTTAGAAATAGGTCTTTCCTGTTCCCACTACCTCTTGGTGTCTGGGCCCCATGCATTTCCAGCAAGCTTGTGGGAAAACTGGGCCCTTCAACATAAGGTGGAGTACTGCAGATGGTTTGATAGGGCTGGTCAATCTTAGAAATTTTTTCAGGGTCTGATGACCATCATATGTGCTAGAAAATTATGGGTGATGTGTGGTTCCTATATTCTCCTTCACTAATCAGTGATGCATTTTATTAATAAATGTCCATCATTTCATTTTTAGGACCAGTTTTTTTTTTAGCTATGGTGATTTTGACATAACATTACATTTTATTGGTTAATATTGATTAAGGAGTTTTACATATATAATTATATGTATTATTGCTGTATCTTTCTTAAATTGCTAGTGATTGACTTTATTATGAAGCTTATCTTCCTTTCATGGAATGAATTAACTAGTTTTCTATATCTTTATGGTTTAGAATATATTATATAGCATAAAAAATGATATATTCCATGACCTATGAAATTATATATGTGGGGATGTTTTCTATTTGAAATCCATAACAATTTTTTTTCAGAAATTCATTTATTTTATCAGAATTATTGCATTTATTATTAAGCATGCATAATATACTCTCACTTTTGATCTTCTGTATTAATAATTTAGCTTAATTTTCCCATTTAGTTTGTGTTATTAATCTAGATTTGTTTGCAAAAGATTTGGTATTTTCTTTTTTTATTTCAAAAACATTTCTTCAAAACATTCCACTGAAGATTACTTTTACAAATTATTTAGTTATATTTAAATCTCAATTCCCCTTCACCTATTTTCCATGGGATAATTTTATGTTTTTAAAATAAGTTATTGAGTTGAAAGCTTCATTAATTTACCTTCTTGATGTAGCTGTTAATAAATAAACACTTCGAGTTTAATTTGAATATAAATCTAGATATATACTATAAGTTTTCACATAGATTATTTTTATTGATTAAGTAGCTATTGATCATGTTAATTTTTTCCTATCTGATAAATAATATTTGGGGAAAGAGATGTGCGGATTTTAAATTATTATATGATTCAAACTGTAAAATTTAAACTTCCACTTATATCTAAATATATTTTATTATTTGTCACAATGTGTGTGAATTTTATTTTACAATTGTGTTGAAGTTTACTTTGTGTATATTTAGCAAATATTACAGATGTTCAGAAAATGTTGAGAAAGACGGTTAGACCACAATTTGTATAAATAAATGATCATAATTACATTTATTTGTTAGAGTGGTCAGATATTTTATGTCTTTATTTATTGCTTTTTTTTAACATAAGCTATCATTTTAATAAGCCATTGTAGTTTGTAATTTGTTGATCTTGTAATAATTTCTCCCATAATAATTGTGTGTATATTAGTTTCTCTCTGAATATCTAAAAGCTTTGTTTGATGTCATTATTATTATAAAATGAGTCTTTCTTTTGTGTTAAATTCCTCAGTCTATTATAATATTGACAATTCTGTCTTAATTTAGCATGTTTTCTGATTTTTAAAATCTAGTGTTTTTAAATTAGTTTCATTTGTGTCTCTTGTAAGCAGCAAATGATCAGACTGGCGTTTTTATTTCAAACTAAGTCTTCGCCTAGTACATAGCAAGTACTCAATTAAAATATGTATTTTGAAATGGCATTTAGCCTTGCTACATCTCATTTTGTTTTTATTTCGCTTTAGGTGGGCCATAAAACATGAAGGGATCAGTAAGCCAGGCCAATGGAAGCATTCCAGAGTTGAAAATCCCCTATGGAACAAGCTTACTTACATGTGGCCGGTCCTTCCCAGTGGACAACTTAATGAGGTTGTATGGCTTAGTAGAAGAGGCAGTTGTTGGGACTTACTTTACGACCCCATATGTGATCATCCTGCTGAAAATTTCCATGCATCTTTTGAATTGTAGTTGTTCTATATCAAAGATAAAACTTACTCCTTCTGTAGATGTGTTCAAGTTTTTCATTATGATAACAAATTAATCTATTTCTTCTTGCCCATCAAATTTATTTACAAATATATTATTTATTATGTGTTTTGAAATTTAGTTCTTAAGCATACACATATTCAAAATATTGTATGTTTCTATTAAATTGAAATTTTATCATTATTTAGAAACTCTAGTCTAATTAAAGTTTCATTTATACAAAACTAATAGAAAATATCAATTTTTGTTGGTGTTTTTGGTTATTATTTGTTTAGTATAGATTCTTTTCATCCTTTTACTTTCTAGTTTTATATATTCTGTCTTTGGAGAGTTCTGGTAATCAGCATGTAGTTAATTTGAGAAATTTATCTAATGATCTCTATCTTTAAAATAAAGCATTTGGTCTTTTCTGATTTTTGTAATTATAGATATATTTGGATTGTTATTCATTTTCTATTTGTCCTAACTTTTCTGTACCCCACCCCAACTTTTTGTAGCTTGGAAGTTATACCCTCTGCACGCTCTGTTGTTATTGTTCTTCTCTTAATCTGAATATATTTCAGCCTACATACATAAGTCATCAAAATGCAAAGTTAAATATATTCACTCTTCTTTCAAATAATCAATAACAGAATATATAACTACAATCATATTATTTGTGATATAAGGTATTATTGTCATATACTTAAGTGGTATCTTTAAAAAAAATTCTCTTGGATATAAACATTGCTGTATGCAGTTAATGCGTATTTATGTTTACCCCCAGTTTCCATCTTTCTTGTTATAATTTTTTTTTACATCTCAGTCCCTCCACCTAGGGTTATTTTCCTTTGGCCTAGAACATCCTTCTTTTAGTTATTCGTAGAAAATGCTTTTGATATTTTTGTTGTTGCTGTTATTTGCTTTTTTGCATTACTGGAAATGGAACCCAGGACCTCACACATGCTAGGCAAATGCTCTACCACTGAGCTACATCTCCAGCCCTTTTTGTTTGTATTTTGAGACGGGGTCTTGTTATGTTGCTCATACTGGCCTCAAACTTGTGATCCTCCTAGGTTATCTACCACAAGGCTCAGCTTTCTGTTTTCTCCTTATCTGAAAGTGTCTTTATGTTGCCCTCATTCATGTTAGGTATTTTCACTTAGCAAACTGAAGATACCACCACTGACTTCTGCCTTCCTTGTTACTATGGAGAAGTCAGTGGTGGTTTCAAATGCTATGCCTTTTTCTATCTATTTGCTTTTAATATCTTTTCTTTGATATTCTACAGTTTTACCACCGCATATCTGAGAGAGGATTTCTTCCCCTTCTCCTCCTCCTATGGTACTGGTGATTGAACCCAGGATTACTCTACCACTGAGCTACATCCCAGACTTTTTTTCCTTTCTTTTGAGAAAAGGTCTTACTAAGTTGCTAAGGTTGGCCCAGAGCTTGTGATCTCCTGCCTCAGCCTCCCAAGACACGCAGGCACCATGCCTGGCTGAGGATTTCTTTTTATTTTATCCTGCTTCAGATTTACAGGTTCTTTGAGGTTCTTGAATCTGTGGGTTGATCTCTTGCATAATTTCCAGGAAATTATCACGTATCCCTTCAAACATTCTCTCTCTGGTATGTATTCACTCCATTAATAGTCCTGGCTATACACCAGGACTTCTCATTTGACCTTCAAGTATCTTGACACATATTTTCCATCTTTTGCCTCTTTTTGATGCATTTTATATCATATTTTTCAGTCTATGGTATGAATTCTCAATGAAGATTATTTTTCTTCTCCACACAATGAAAATGTTTGAGGCAGTATATTTTACTTGCAGCTTTCTGGAGAGACATTATTTCTAGTTTGCCTATTTAATGAAATTTAGTCTATTATGCTTCTTATTTTATGAGGAGAGAGGGTCTCCTATGAGACTTCCCACCTAGATTGGGTGCTGAGTTTGTTTCCTATGCCCTTCCTTGGGTCAATTATACATAATAAAATATTTAACAATTTTACACTAGGTTTTGAATTATTGAGTTGTTTGTAACAGGGAGTCATCAACTTACTGATTGTGTTGTATTTTCTGATCTAATCAAGTGTTTTTTTTCGTCCCCCTTAAATCATGCTTTCCTGTACTTCTTCACTGAGTAAACTGACCAGTCTCAGCACTTTAGTGAAAGGACACATGCTGTCTGAAAAGGAGAAGTCATTGCTTAAAGCCCCAAAGATGCCTTTTTACTTAGACTGCAGTGAAATAACAATCTAGAAAACTGAGATTTTCTTTTCTTTTTCTTTTTCATACCATGGATTGAACCCAGAAACACTTATCCACTGAGCCAAATCCCCAGCCCTTTTCATTTTTTATTTTGAATTAGGATCTTGCTAAGTTGCCTAGGGCCTCACTAATTTGCTGAGTCTCGCCTTAAATTTGTGATCCTCCTGCCTCAGCCTCATGCCCTGCAAAAGCTGTGTGCCACTATGCCTGGAAAAAGCTGAGTTTTATAAAAAAAAAAAAAACAAACAAAAGGAGAGCTTCTAAACAGCAGAGCCTGTGGGTGGGCAATGGATGGTCTGGGATTTGACAATTAAATGATCCTAGGAATTAATGTTGTAAGATATAGGGTTCATAGCACTAGTGAGAGCCAACATGGAGTCCAGGATAGAAGGTTGGCATGGAAAGACCAATAGGGCCACATATGCCAAGAAAAAACCACTTTGGCTTGCTCTGATTGTAGATTTTTCTCTAGAAGTCCAAGAAGGACAGAGGCTAAAATCTAGAAAACAGGCAGGATATTAGCTGGTGGTGACCAAATGCCAGCAGTTTGCCCCATAATCAAATAGGTCAAAAGCCATGACCTTTGAGGCCTCTGAGGATCCAGGACAGCTATTTATCTAAATGTTATTTATTGTATTCAAGTATCTATATAGGGAGACCATGGGCCTCTTTTACCAATGGTAAATGGTTTATTGAACTTTCATCTAAACTCAGAAACTATCTTGAGGAGAAGCTTGCCCTTGAAAGGAGACAAAAATTCTGGCAAGAAGTTTGACCTTCAAATATAATTGAATATGTATCAAAATGACAAAATTAAAAAACAAAAAAGAGTTTTTTTTCTTATATATATTGGCAAAACCGGGATACCTCTAATCCACCGAATGGATAGAGGGATGGACAGGGAAGCCTATAAGAAGGTACTTTTTGTAGAATGAGAGACAATTGTAATTTTCACAAATTTCACAAATATTGTGGTTATCTTTTATGTCAGTCAAAGTAAAAGTCATTCAATAAATTTATTTAAGTAATTAGGATATCTAAGCTAACCAGATTGAGAAAACTACCACAAAAGAGGGTTTCAAAAGAAACAGGTCATGGAGATGGCCAGGTATTCAGAAAAATAAAATAAAATTGATGATTTAAATATTTGTGTTCTATCTACATAACAAGAGTTTACCACCTTTGGAAGTTGTTCAATAATATTCTAACAGCTTTAATATGTTTGATGAATGGATTTTCTATTTCTCTTTAGATCATTTACCTTAAAAAATAACATTTTGCTTATGGTCTAAGATTTGACAACTGAATGATCTTAGGAATTAATACATATAACTTCAGTTTTTTTTTCTAGCCATTCAAATAGAACAGTAGCTTTTGTGTGGAATGGATAATTTACTATACTCCAACAAAACTCTGACCTTCACTTATAAACTGAAGGGAGAGATCTAAGGTATTAAATTAATTGAAGTCAGGCAAACTGACCGTGTATTTCAAATGACTCAGTCTGAGGGTCCTGCTATGTCTTGAAATGTTTGGGGAAGAGAAAAAAGTAAGTTACCAAGCCTGGAATTCAGATAGCTCTCAAATTTAAATATAATCAATTTTGCTTCAAGCCTGGATCCATCAGATTAGTAGGAACCATATTTTTTTCCAGTCTTATTTTCACACAGTTGATTTTTAGCAAAAAGATTATTTTATTTCAGCATATAATTAAGTGCAATTAATAATTTGGTTGTAAAGACTGTAATTAGGAAATGTAACATTTTTATTGTGGAATACAGAATACTTTGGGCACTGTAAGCATATGTATTAATTTTATTACAAACTTAATCTTTGAACTTCACCATTTTTCTAACTACTATTTGTTATATATTTAGGCAGTGCATAAAGAACAAGAAAGGATATAGACATAGTCCCTAACTGAAGCTTAAAGTTGTAAGTCAGAAAGGAAGAAACTAGAAAAAGAGGCATAGCTGATGAATAAAGGAGGAAGAAATTCAAATAAAAATTTGGGGTTCCAGAAATAAAAGGCTAATTGTTGACCAAGTTAATTCAGTCATACAATCAGAGTAAAGAAAGTGTAGCTGGGATGACTGCCTGAATCGGCCTAAAAATTAAGTCAAAATTCTGAACCTAAGAAAACCATTTAAAAGACACTATCTTGAGTGAGAGTCCAATTCTCCTGTTAATTCTTTAACAAGAACTTTCCAAAGTAGAATGATGACTAAGGGAAGATGTAAGGAAATATAAACAATATGTAAATATGGGATTATTTTTGTAGTTTCTCTGAATGCATTAATGCTCTAAACTGTTTACCTCTCAGTGGTGACAGCTGATCTGAGAACTGATTTCATGCTGTTATCGCTTTTAAATATTATTCATTCTAAAAAGAAATTGATAATTTTTTTTAATCAACAAACAGCATCTCATGTATTTGGGGATACCAATATTTTAAAAATATTTTTTAAATAAAGGCTTATAAAAAGCAGAATCATCATTAGTAACTATGATCATGGGAATAATTTATACAAACTCGGGTTATTTTCTCACACCTTGAGTAAAAAGTTATGAATTGAAAAATTGTATTTCTTAATACTTAAATGTAAGGAGCAATGGATTTTTCATATTCAA